TATATTTCTTATTTAGATAAAAATATTACGTGATGCCAGTAAAAAAAGAGCCTCTTTGGGAAGAAGTACATCAGCTGCAAGAAGAATGGCAGCAACAAGAGCAGCTGAAGATTCTGAAGACGCACGCACTCGACTTGATGGTCAACGTGCAAGACAAGCAGCTTCAAGAGCAGCTGAATCTCCAGAACGGAGACAAAGTCGACGGGAAGATGATCGAGCCAGACATGCAGCTTCACGAGCAGCTGAGAATCCCATACAGAGACGGACTCGAAGTGAAGATCAGCGTAGACGACAAGCAGCCTCAAGGGCAGCGCAATGGACATTTATGGAAGGGGAAGCGTTTCGGTATGATCCAGCCAATAACTATGACAGCCATCCTCAACTTAATATTGGACAAATGAGCGATGTTTGTCCATACTGTAATGCCCTCAAGTGGCATGCAGAAACACGAGGTATGTGCTGTTCTGGTGGTAAAGTAAAGTTACCTGAACTTCAGCCTCCTCCTGAACCACTGAAATCATTAATGTCAGGAACAACGCCTGAATCGAAGCATTTCTTGGACAACATTAGAAAATACAATTCCTGCTTTCAAATGACATCTTTTGGCACGTCAGAGAAAGTGGCTGACCCAGGCTTCATGCCTACTTTCAGAGTTCAGGGTCAAGTATATCATCGCGTAGGATCTCTGCTGCCGCCTTCGAATGAAGAACATAAATTTCTTCAAATTTACTTCATGGGCGACGATCGAAAAGAAGTACAACAACGTTGCAAAAACATGCCTGGCGTACGTCAAGACATTTTCGAGAAACTGCAGCAAATGGTTCATGAGCACCACATTTATGTTGATCTTTTCAAGACTGCCCTTCAAAGAATGCCAACAGATCAATACAAGGTGCTTATTCGAGCAGACATGAAACCTGTTGGAGAGCATGCACGTCGTTTCAATGAGCCAGTGACAAATGAGGTGGCGGTTGTCATCGCTGGCAACGACTTCGAGAAACGAGATATTGTCTTGGAGCAGAAAAATGGCCAGTTACAGAGAGTATCTGAGACACACAGGTCGTATGATACCTTGCAATATCCTCTCATCTTTTGGAAAGGTGGGGATGGCTACCATTTTCTTATCGAACAGACTGATCCAACAACTGGAATGGCTGTCACTGGCAAAAAAGTATCGGCTATGAGTTTTTATGCTTACAGAATTATGGTACGAACTGGTGCTGTCAATCATATCTTACAGTGCCGACAACTTTTCCATCAGTATGTGGTTGACATGTACGCTAAGATCGAAAGTGAAAGATTATCTTTTCTACGTTATAATCAAAAAAAGCTTAGAGTGGATGAATACATTCACCTGAAAGATGCTATAGCCAATGATGGACGAGCTGACAATCTTGGTCAATTAGTGATTCTACCAGCAACTTTTACTGGAAGTCCCCGGCACATGCATGAATATACACAAGACGCCATGACTTATGTAAGAAACCACGGAAGACCCGACCTCTTTATAACATTCACCTGCAATCCTAAGTGGCAAGAAATTCAAGCAGAATTAATGGAAGGTCAAGCTCCCTCTGATCGTCATGATCTATTAGCAAGAGTGTTCAGACAAAAGCTCATTAAATTGGTCAACATTATTACCAAAAGCCATGTATTTGGGCCAACAAGATGCTGGATGTATTCTATTGAATGGCAAAAGAGAGGAGTACCACATGCCCATATTTTGATATGGTTGAAGAACAAAATTAAAGCG